AATTGTGTGACAATATATCAAGCTTTAGTCAAAATATCAAATGACAGCAGACAACAGATCGTTAAGTACAATGAGGAAGTACCAAACCAGAGTCAAAGTGTCTGATTTTTCTCATTTTCGCAATTAGTGCGAGACATACCTCTTTCAGCAAGTGCATTCGTGTTTGTTTCACACGAACTTCAGTGTGATTTGTCAATTAAGCAAGCTCTTACCAAATTGGGAATATGACGAATTTCGCATAAACTTCCGGTATAACACCGTAATCCCTCGAGCACAAACCGTAGGCGCTGAAAACGGAAATCATCAGCCGTCTCTGAGTCGTGTGGTACAAAACCTGAACGTGTATCTGTCCAACCGTCTTCTTCACGATACCCTTCTAAAATAGAGGAGAGTTCAAATGAAAGATACCGGCCACCTCGAGCCCGAACGGGGCGACGATCAATAAGACTATAACGAACGAGTCTACGAGTGAACAAAGACGTGATCTGCACCGGAGGAGGCCGAAACCGTGAAACCAGAATCGGATGAGAGCCTCGCAGAGAATAAGAAAGATTTCTTTCAGTTCGAAAGATCGGACGTCTATGTTGCACACGTGACTCCTACGTGGAGAATTAGAGAGCCGGAGATTCATTCCTTTCATGCAGAAACGAGCTGTGAGGGGATCGATGGTCCTCGACTAAGGCAAAAAAACCAGAAAATAAGAACTATGCAAACTATGTGTGTATGTGTGTGTATGATGCAGTGTACAACTGAGTGTATGTATGATGACGTGAAGAGTCAAGTCACACGAGAGTCACGTTTATGATCGACAACTATAGCTAGCGGGATAGCGTGACATCAGTGATGAACAACATACATCCTTGTACATTCTTGTTTCAAGTAATTTTGCCTGACTTTCATGAAGTTTCAATTGAAACGGACACATCTATTCGCGCATGACGATTTTTTTTTTAAAGTTATTGTTTAAATGTGGTTGGTTCAGGGTTGAAGAAAGGAATATCTTCGTGTAAGATAATTTTTAAATGGAATTGCTATATCATTCGACGCTACGGTTATCAATGTGTTTAATTATTTCTATTAAAAGTTATTAAATTGTTAATGCAAGCAGTGTTAATTGAATGAGCAAATTGAGGATCCACGTTTGTTTCTCTCCCCATAAAATGAAAGAATATACCTTGGTACATTTAGTTTCTAACATATGCATGATCATTCTTCTCCAATTCACTCACAGTGTTGTACAATTTTCATAGATATAATAATAGCGGATGGAGCAAAAATTGTAAAAGGCAAGAACAGCCCATCATTTTGTAGAATAAAGATACATCTCAGAGTGGATCAATAAATCATGATATAGTGGAACCTTGCTACAGAGTTAACTTTCTTTAGAAAAGCCATTTAATTTTCATAATAATAACTTGTGAAGTTCTCTCTTTATTATCGTAGGCTCTTTACTCGGCAAAGATGGCAAGAAATAATTAACGTGTATTTTTAATAATAATTTGAATAAAGAAAGTGATGGCTTGGCAAGTTTAAAAACGAAGCATTTCAAATCACTAGGCTGTGAATTCTTTATGATATTCAGAAGTGACCACTGTGATGCCTTTCCACGGTTTAATAATATACGTGCAAATGGAATCCGAAAATAGACGTATAAAAGTGGAGCAAACGGTGAATGAATTTTGTATGCATTTTCTACATTAAAAAGCATGGTTTCTCGCGGTGTCTGATACTTTCTTGAATATTTAAAGCGGACGGCACGAAGCTTAAACACTTGTTTGAAAGGCTAGTTTTTCCATTCCATCCAGCAATTCCATTCAAAATTCAATGTACTTTACATTTTCATCAGTCTCTCGTACCAACAGTTTTCATATTGTACAAGCTACAACAGTTTCTATAAAAAAAAAAAAAAAAAAGAAATTGCTATTTTTCTAAACACTTTTATTTCGTAGCTGCTGATCGTCTCGATTTTTCAAATTTGAGATCAGAAATTCTTTTTACTCTAGGAAGATGTGCGACACATACATAAATCGCGAAGTTCAACCCTGAACACGTTCAAGTTAACCCTCTGTGACCAGAATTTCAAGGAAACAACTAAGAATTGTTACAAACAAGTCGTTCGACTTTTTTTCTTTTATAATGCACGAAAATGCAACAACGAAACGTTAATAGAAAGAACGTGAAAAATATTCTAAATATGTAACTTTCAAGTTGCACGACGTTTATAGAGGGTTAAAACACGAACTTGTCGCATATAATTCAGGCAACGATATAGCGATATTGCAAATTATCGATATCGATCGACGTCGCTTGTTATCTTCTTCAACATCTCTTGAATCTTCGTTCCGTCAATTGGAACATTCATTCGATTTTTCATCTCGCCAAACGACGTATCCTGAATTATAACATTCGAACTCATTACACAGAACTGTTGTTATTTTACATTTTCATTTCATTAACAACCTTTGCACTCAGAAATCGTGCTAACATTATCGAGAGTTGTCACATTGGCATAAATATTATCAGTCTCTGGTTCACGCTGACTGAAAATGATTGAACATCCGTGTATCTTTGCATACGCTAATCACACCTACTTTGTACAAATAGGAGAGACCTAATGTTTCGTCGACGCCGAAAATAAATAAATGATTCTAAATCTGATCTGACAGAGTTGTGTCGATAGGTATCGAGTTGTTCCAAGGATATGTTAAAAAATTAGTTACCGAGTGCAAACGGGTGTTAAAGAGATTGTCAGAGAGAAACAAATGTTCACCCTTCACCTCTGAATTTGATTCGACAATCAAAGGGAAATACAATCCCCAAGTGCAAAGAAACATCCAATTTGAACGTTCATTGTGCATCACTGATCTGTATACGATACAGCCAAAGAAAAAGGTTCGATCGCAGCAAAATCGGTTGTTAGTTAGTCGCGTTCCCTGGTTCCTCGGCTCCTCTTCCGATCCCAGCTGTCGAATTCCTCTTCCACCCTTTTACTCGTCTTATCTCGTTCCCTTTTCTCATTTCGCGGGCAAACATGGCGAACACGTTGATCTGACCTCTCGTCTTTCACGCACCGTACCGTTTTCCCGGACTGTACGTCTGCTTTTTTAACCCTTGACCGTTGGTACCGTTGGGTCATTGGGAATCGATCGTTGCACAGCTTTAGAATTCCCAACCCTCTGTGAGTGTTCGCATCGAGCACCGAGAATCCCAGATGCTTAAACTACTGCTAGTTTCATCGTGAAAGAGGACAACGTGTTGAACAAACATGTCAGAAAGGTGTACGTTTAACCGCTTTGAAATCGCATGGATTTAACCTCGTGGCATGATATTACATTACTTATAAATTGTCCCTTCGTTTCACTACGAATCGTTTCGCGTGAATTTATTCTTCCTTCGAATTTTCAAGCTCTTGTCCGACATCGAATCGTAATTGGTAATTTCAACGAATTATTTTAGTAATTTTATTGGATCTCGACCGTTACTCAAAGGACTTTTATCGATTTTATGACGAGCCTCTGTTCGCGATGAGTGCAGGATGCAAAATAAAACGGAATGGCCACGAGCTTTATAAATTGTTCTAGCGACCCAACGATACTGTTCGAGGATTAAATCTGTTGAAAGGTTTACGCAAGCGAGGTGTGCGTGTGGTCGCGGCGCTTTTTCGGCCTTAAAGTTTCCATCGCCGTCGACGTTTCGACTGGGGCACACGAAGGCAGCAGAAACGCAACGAGCCGAAAGTAAAAAAAAAACCGTGATCGGCCGGTCAAAGGACGACTGTGTGAAATTTTTGATGAATTTTTCTCGGGAAGAAATTTCCGATTTGTCGTTCGTTCGTTCCCTTTTTGCTCGACGTGGTCGATTTCTCCTCTTTTCGCTTGCCTCCTACTTTCCCCTCTTTTCTTTTCTTTTTTTTCCGACGATCAACGTGTTCAAAGGTTATGCCAAAGAAAAAAGAAAAAGAAAAGAAAACTACGGCTCTGAGACTGTGAGAGCATCATTTTACACTGAGATCCAGTGAATGCCTTTAAAGCCGAAGCCGAGTCGCGAGAGAAGCATAGCGTTCGTGTGTTGTATGTGCAACGATATCAGGCTACGCATTCTTTTCGCATACGCTTTCCCTTGTTATCGTCGTTTAAAGACATACGTTTGATAATATTTCCTTACGTTGGAGGAACGTTTCTCTGTGGTATTCGTTTCGCGTTACAGTTAGAAAATGTTAAGAAATTTGAGATAATTGATCATAATCTTCCTCGTTACTTGGAATTTGTATTCAGTTGTTTTCAAATTTCTGTAAAAAGATGCTGATCATATCATTGAGAAGAATCTTTCCACGCTTTCAAACGATTGAGCTTCGAAACAGAAAATATTTCCCTCGTTTTTCCAATAATTGGTTTGTTCCAATTTTCATACAGGGTGCCAAAGAGGTGGCTTTAAAATTGCAGAGCTCTTTAGTACTCGCAAAGAGGATTTACAACTACTTAAACTATATAAATAAGTGATACAGTCAATACCTTCGGTGCAGGATATAATTTTCTTGGCTTGAAAGTTCAGTTTAAGTACATTATTCGTAACAAATAATGTGGTTAAACTGTAATAATGAATGAAAAATATATGTTACATCTGACGATAGAAAAAATTCAAACGCGATGAAATAGTTCAAAATATTATAAATAACATAATGTTGTATTTTACTGTAACACTCATTATATAAGTAACAATTTTATAATCTTTCAGTACAATACTGTGTTTGTGTATATATTAATATATAAATATACACACAATAATATATACTATATGATATATATATATATATATATATATATA